AACCATCAAAATGGTAGGCGGAAATACGTCCGCCAAATAAACAACGAAATCTTTTTGAAGCCTATTCATCAGTCGGGGACGAATGAACATACATTGAACAGGCTGTTATAGTATATGACTTGCTAGTTCATAGACCAAGAAAATCTGTCAAAGACATTGCTAAGAAATAGCTTAACTTATGCCTAGACTTTCTCTTTTCTTGTTCTGCTGTTGTTATTCTCTGTCTTCTTGTCCTTCCTTTTTTGAATAATACCCAGGGTTTCAACAGAGGTCCATCCCTCATAATGATGCTTGTTACGACCCAGAACCTCATGACACGTTGAAACTGTTTCTATTTCCATCTCTATCCAGTTGTCCTCCATAGTAGTTTCATCTTCATTGAGTAAATCTTGTAAGACGCGGAACTTTTTATTAAGAGTCATCTTGAGTTCGTTCACTCTGTCAGTATCTCGAAAGAAGGTCGTATTGAACCTTTGTAATGTTGTTTCTTCAGTTTTCAGTTTGATCTTGGGAATCACCAGGTAGTGATCTGAGGTTATGTCAGCACCTCTCCTTGGCGTCACGTCCTCCATTGACCTGTATTTTTTATTGATGCAAATATGATCGATGTGGTTATGTGCAGTGCGATGAGAAGAGACATATGTAACTTTGTGTATGCGTTCTTGGCAGAACACAATGGATGACTTTAAACTCAATGTTTATACCTACTTGATGTCTTTCATCGGATAAATGAATCGATATAAAGCTCTTTATTGTCCCATCTTGCCTTTTTATTAGCGAGATAGAATCTCGTTTAGAAATAAGGTGTCGAAATTGTCTAACTGTGCACCCGGCTTAGCTAGATCCACAAGAACATTCTCATTGTTAGGTACACATTGATGAAACATTACAGGATGTCTGTACTTATGTATGTACTTATATCCAGTTATAATAATCAACTGTTCACAAAATACGATGCATAACTTCACTCTAGTAAATACTTTTGGCAAGGCTCTTCTCATTCACTGCGCTATTAATTCAATGGCTGTGAATTTCAAAGAGATTAGTTTCAAAATACTGCAGGTTTATGGGTGAGCTCTCCATAAACCAATTGGAAAATATCCATATTGTTAATCCACAAAGCCTCATGCTAATCATGCCTGCAATAGTGATGTGTGATGATCATGTAGCTGTAATAAAAATCAATAGCTCACTAAGTGTTCGACATTGGATGCTGACCACATTGTTTTAAGTGGACTTGTTTAACTGAAGGCTATCGGTCATGCATCCGTACCAGATCACGTTACGACCCAGAGTGGGAAACAGCTCCTACGTTCGTGACTCTTCTCACCAGTACGGAAAGCCAGGTACCGAAGTCACGTTTAGAAGTATAGCTAAGTACTAGGATGTATCAACCTATTCGTTTTTATTGCTCATTGATGAATTATCGTTCCGAATAATAAATGAGTCAAGGATAATCCAAATCCCGTAATAACCGTATTAGCATTTGTTGTTTTCTGGTTTTGTGAAAATGTCTTTGCAAACGGCATAGAACATTTAATAGTGAAATGAAAAAGTTTTTTGTGGTATCGCACAGGAAGGAGGTCATGGTGTAGACGTAAAAAAAACATCGGATGTCCGTTTCATTCCGTTCAAAGGTTTATTCGCAATGTAATCTGGCATAACTTCATCTTCCCAACTGAATCGTATTATTATTGAAGCACTCAACTTTAAGTATTTCTAAATGACAAATAAAAATAACGATTTACGCCATCGTAATTCGATCGTCTCGAAATCTCAGTCCTATGACTTTTCCGAGGCCCTGTCCATAGACGTTATGAAAGCTATTGGCAGAATAATCAGTTTCGACTGACAGAGTTATCGTCTGTCGAAGACCGTCCTTTACGATTTCGAAGTCATCCTTAGAATCGCTTGGCTTCGGTAATATACCTAAGTCTAGCCATTTACTTTGCGAAATACAAGGACGAAAGTGACAATGAATGGATGAACTTGTAGTAACTGTGACGCAAAACCGAACCATAGCCTAATGAGTCTTCAAGTTGGATTCACTCTACCTTGGAAGATTAAGACTTTGAATAAATGATGTAAGTGGTGAAAGTCAATAAAGACCAACTACAGAATATCACAGAGCACTCGTGGCTTGGTCTTTCTTGCACGACCGTACCATGTGTATCTCTCATCTTTATGCCTCGCATGGTAAATAACCCATCAGATTTCATTCGATCTTCAAAGGTTCTTAAAAGATGGGAAACCCTGGCTAACACATAAGGCCAGGTGTGGATAGAAAACAATGTAATTCCGTCTTTAGATCTCAATAACTAGACAGCCAACTCATGAACAATCAAGTATTTTAAGTTGAGACGACTAATCTAGTGCCATACATTTGTTCTTTAATAGCTGTCATGGTCTCAAATTCTATAATATTCATCTACACTATATATATGCCCTGTTTGGGTTCCCTAGTCCCTGGTTGATCATTTCCGATAAAAAGGAATCCATTCAAATGGCGAAAACAGATTTATCAAAATCTAAATGTTAGGATTACTTTTCTTGATTAGGAAATTCAGGGTCACATAAAGTCAAGTGTAAGTCGTACAGAATTTTCTGAATTATATACCAAGTAAACTCAAGTTGAGTGCAAACGGTGCGACTCCACAAAATAAGCTTTAGAAAAACAGAAAGGAGGGACGGAGCAGCCTTGTGTCTATGATTGTTCCCAAAACCACATCAAGTGTGCACCCAAGATTTTATTATTCTTTATGAATATGTGTGGTCCTTAGTGGGATTGTCTATCACATCGAAGTGTCTAGTTGAAGTCATCTACAGGAAGCCTACTGCTAGTACCGAGTGCGAAACTCGTATACTCGAGGGAGTATCCCACTCTACTCTTCTGAGATACACTCATATCCTGATTCCAGGAGACTTCAGTTTTGAAGGTGACTGCTCTACCGAAGCTCGGTTCCTCAACCTCATTGAAGATCTGTTATTATTTGAAAGCATGAAGTTAGCAACTCTGTGGAGAAACAATTAGACGCCACAACTCTTAGACTGCATATTTACAAATGAAGAATTTCTAATTGACAACCCATTAATCCTGTCTCTCCTGTGTAGGAATAAACATCCCTTCACAGGCTTTAATATTTCAGCAAAACTAAGCTAAAGCGTCCTACTAACAAATGATGTTGGAAATACAAACGGTCGGATGTGTCAGCTATACAGGTCAATCTACGAAAGGTAGGCTGAGAATCTCACCCTCAACTTCATTTCGACGCTCATTTGGATTTCTTACTGCACACAATCTTGTGTGTTTCAAAGCAGTGTCCCGCAAATGGTCATCAAAAATTATGAGGAACATGCAGTCACAAACAATCTCACTCTTCATATGTTAAGACGTAAAAAGCACAACTGGGAGGAATATAAACGAACTATTGACAACAGCACATATAGCCAGTGCAGACAAGAGAGAAATCAATGCAAAAAGGTGACCAGAGAAGATAGACTTCAGTGTCAGATAAAGCTAATCGATAGATTTCCCTCTAATGCGAGAAGTTTATTCAGGCATGTAGCTTCTCTTCGACAAGCCTAAACGGGAGTTTTCCAAGTGCTAGGTCCCAGTGGCCTAACCAACAACGACGGTGACATAGAAGATTATTTTCAAACATTTCAATCGTCTCATACCAACTAAATCGACGCGAGCTTTACATACATCTCAACAGGACTCTCAGAAGTGAAACTGAACGCTGCATTGGTTTATAAGAAACTGCGGCACCTAAACAAATGTACCTCTCTTAACCTGTATATGGTCCATTCTGCTATACTAAGGGAAGCGGCTTTAATCTTAGTAAGACTGCTTAACATGGTGTTCTTATATTCACTAAACCGAGGTGCAGTACCAGGAAATTGGAAGCTGGCTTACGTTACATCAATTATCAAAGGAGGTTGACGCAGAGAACCTTCAAGCTACCGACCGGTAGCACTCCTCTCCATACATTCAAAAGGTATGCAGTCCCTGATATACGATGTTCCACGTGACAAATTCATATCCATAAACATCTTTTCATCTCAACAGTGCGGTTTTAGGGAGGGTCACTTATATATAAATAACCTGCTGAAAGTGGTGGACAGATGGACTAGTCTAGGGATTAATAATGTTTCACCGAACTATACTGTAATAGTAGAAGTTCGTCAAATGACGCTCTAAGTGCCTGTCTGTAAATCTTGTTGACTAATTAGTGTACACAGTCACCTATTGGTTTACATCATGCTAGTGCATATATCCTGTTGATCCGAACATAAAATAGAAAAGCACGATGCATACTATTAAAATTTCTCCACTATTTTTCGTAGCTGTCAAGTCATGTTAACTATTTTAGGCAGAACATATCGTGATTAATCTTATTTCATCCCAACCTCAAGGTCTAACTGATCAGTGAAACTTTTCAGGATAATATTGGACAAAATCTTATGAAGCCAGGTTGAAACGCTAAGCTTGAACCCAACAATATTCTAAAACAACACTTATCAGTGTGAATTATTTTGATTAACATTTACTACATACACAAACGCCTTGTTACATCAACAGGACTAACCCAAGAAAAGCTATAAATACCTGTCAAAACACACTTTAATACTAGTTTGGAAAGACAACGGAAGTTGATGACCAAAGGTCAACAGACATCACACCATTTATATCCCAAACCAAGAAAACGGAAACATTACTTAATCCATACTTTGACACAACCTATTCTCAACTAGTCATCAAACATTCTTCCCAAGTCCTTAGTGTTTGATACGGCATTCAGAACAACTTGAGCTCACTAGTCATGGTCGCAGTGACCGTATTTCTGTCACCAATTTTTTTGACTACACTTATGCTTGTCATTGAGTAGATAGAAAACCATTTATTTACCCTAACAACGCTTGTAACAAATTCAAAACTATTTACCCACAACGCAAACATTTTAGGAATTTTGACGCTGCGTGTTTTAATACACCAGAGGTTAAAGACTTATCATTTCGCGCTCACCTCGAAGGATCTTCTAAACATTCGGTCCAGTAGTGAGTCACTTTTCTAACGTATCGTCAGCGGTGATCTTACGCCACCGATCTTACAGTTATGGTACTACTAATTGTCGTCAGTTTCTTTTATTATCTCATGCAAGTACACTACATGTACCTACTTAGTCGTCATTTTCATTAAATAAAAACGAGTCGTCGACTAATTTCTTGTTTTATCCTCTCACGAGCTAATCTTTGGTCTCCTAGCACGCTTCATAACTTCAGGATAAATCCAAACTTGTGGTAGGCCAGAGGCCGCGTTAACTGTGGCTGGAAGTTTCGGCTAACTGCGGTTCCTGATGTTTTCGATATCCTGCTATGTGGTAAGATATCTATAACACTATTATAAGTATTTGGAGGAGGCTTTTCGAAGCTAGCTGGAGTATTTCACTTTAAGGACATGACATTCGTTAGTTGCGAAGATCCATGTTAATTGAATTCAATGTGTAAGTTGTTAGCCCGTCTTTTTTCAATTTTTGTATTTTGTGAAAAGACTCGTGTCTTTCAGTGGTTATCGTCGTATCGTCATTCACCAAAAATTTAATTGGTACCAGACGTCCTAAAGGTTTTAAAATATGACAACTTATAATCCTGAGACAAATCGCTGCACCAACTTTTAAATTTCTCTCTACATACTAATTGTTATATAAACCTTTCATTACAGAAATCATATGGAGGTTGCCAGATCGATTTCATCAATTATTAAAAGGACTGTTGATCCAACTATGTTGTTTGATAAAGGTAATTCTAATATATGTGGCTAAATTTGATATATAAAGGTGACTATATGGATGAAGTACTATGGCAGCTTCTTTGTACTATTTATGATATACCATCATCAAACTTCACGAAAGTTTACTTCTTGAAATTGTTCATGATGACCGCCACTGACCTGGGATATGCTGGAAATTTCACTTTGAGTAATTTTTCCCGAGATAAAAGAGACCGGCGAAAATGGATACCTTTCCTATCATGTTTAGTCTCTTGGTTTGAATGTGCTGACACTGAGATTCTACAGGTAGTTAACACTTTTATATATATTTCTTTTTCAAGATGGTCGACGAAGCAAGAGAAAGAAAGAACAACTATGCAAAGCTTTTAAGTCTGGTGGAATCTCGGGAACATGAATTACAAACACTTCGAGAGGCTGAATCCAAACGGCGTAGCATTGTTAAAGACCTTGAAAAGGAAGTGTACGACGTTAAGCATCGTTTTAATGAAAGGAGTGAAAAAATGTCGTCTGCAGAAAATTTATTACTGTCTCTAGTTTCATCAACTAAACAGAAGAAAGGACAGGTAGATTCTCATCACAGCATATTTAGGAATTTATGCCTCAGCAATTAGCATATGATAGGTTAATAACAAGAGTAGTAATATGTTTGTGGTACATCAATGAGTAGAAAACAAACATTCATTTGGATATTCCTAATCTATCATTACTTTTATCACTCGAAATATACTTAACCCCCAATCTATTTGACATCAGGTCAAACCTTGGTAATGATGCCTACAAACTCACTCATATGCCAGGTTGTTTGGTTGCAAACATCATTTAGGAAGATCCACCCTTGAGTTATCACCATAGTCATCAAACCCAATCGTATGACTCATTGTAGTTTGTCTCAAGGATAACAACAATGCACTTCATGAACAGTCACTGCGAAATTCCATTTTCTTGTCGACTTATGGATTTAAAAAATATCCACCTTCATTTAATGTTCATAGTATTGCTCTTTTAACCTGACTCTTGCAGTTGACACGAATACACCCCTAAGTTTTAGAAAGTAATCTTAGTATTTTAGGAAGGTTTGCAATCTTCGTGGCAACCCAAAATAACTTCAAGAGTTTTCTTATAAGTTTATGCTTGTTGGTACTTATTTACGCCACACCCGTTTGTCCAATCAGTAGGTCATCATTGATACATGTGTATCAGCCCGTTTTTCACACTGTATATCACAGTTGAAAAGGAAGTTACCCAGTTTCAGAGCAAATGACAGATCTACACATTAATTGAGGTTTAAAACGATTATTATTGTTATTATTATTTATTATTTAAACACATATATTGGTACAAAAGGGCACCAGGTACATATACGCCACACAAAATAATGAAAGTAGGAAGAGAAGGGATGAAAAGATAAGGCCGACTGAAATGTACAACCAGAAGACTTAGTTAAGAAAGTTAGAACCATTCTTTATGTAGAAAGTAATAAGGTTGCAGCAGGATCGCCACTGGCTTCTATTCTGAGCCATATCTAATAACGTCTCTAACCACTGTGTTGCACCATCTCTCGGACCCCAGCCAGGGAGTCGTGAAGGACCAACAGAAGCTAGCCCTTTGCAGCTTTCTTTCATGCCACGACACCATGTCATACACTGACCTCCTCTCCGCTTTTTTAAACCAGTCCCAGGGTCGGCAAATAATGCACGACGTGGAAGTATCTGGGACGACATTCGTAAAACATGTCCAAGCCACCGAAGTCGGTGTTTCAAGATGGTGACACCAATTGAATTATCGTCTCTGCGCCCGAACACACAATGCCGAACCTCTGCATTACTAACATGGTGTTGCCACTGGATGTCAGCAATCCTTCGGAGACAACGATGATCGAACACAGAGTCGTCTAACATCCTCAACTCGGAGAGGCCAGGTTTCACAATCATAGAGCAAAACTACTCTCACCGACGCGTTGTAGATCCGACCTTTTACAGCTAGACTAACATCACAAAGGCGCCAAAGATGGCCCAGATTGGCATAAGCCGCTCTGGCTTTCATTATACGTGCATCAATCTCATCACTCACGCCACCACCAGCACTTATATTAGCTACCTAGATACACGAACTTCTCAACTACTTCAATCTGCTCACCATCCAGGGTGAGTACAGGATGAGAATCCTGCCAGTCTTGTAGAAGTACTTTGCACTTGGAGGGTGCAAAGCACATGCCGTACCTGCGGACACTGATTACCAACTGATTAAGTGCGGATTGCTTGCCTTGAGCATTATCGCACAGTAAGACAATATCATCCGCATACTCGAGGTCGAGAAGTCGTTCTCCAGGCAACATATCCACACCGCCATTACTTACATCCATCAGAGCTGTTTCCAGGATGTCGTCGATAGCAAAGTTGAAGAGGAATGGTGAGATCGGGCAACCCTGCCTAAACCCACTGCTCGAATGGAACAAGGGAGAAAGGTGGTTGTATGCCCTCACTCTGCCTGAGGTGTACGTATACAGGGCCTTTAAGATGTTAATGCACTTCTCAGGCACACCCTTCTTCAATAGACAATCCCAGAGAACAGTCCTGTCCAACGAATCGAAGGCAGTCCTGATATCAAGAAACACTACGATTGTTGGCCTGCGATAAGTATGACGGTGTTCTAACATTTGACGGAGGGTGAAAACGTGATCAATGCATCCTCGACCAGAACGAAAACCAGCCTGCTCCTCGCGAGTCAATCGTTCTCGGGTTTTAAACAACCTACGAAGAATGATAGAAGCCAATAGTTTGGACGCAATCGGAAGTAGACTTATCCCCCGATAGTTATTGCAGGAACAACGTGTACCCTTTTTAAAGATAGGGACGACTATTGACTTATTCCATGATGTTGGAACACTTTCTTGTTCCCAAACCTTTCCAAACAACACAGTCAATTCCTTAGTCAGAAGGTCACCACCACCTTTAAAAAGAGCCGGAGGTAAGTCACCTGGGCCAGGTGATTTGTAACGTTTCAAGAGTTGGAGTTCCTTGCGGACTTCCGCCTCGTTTGGTGGATCAGTCGTCACCGGCCATGGGGGGCAGGACAAGCTGGTTGATGTTGCCGGAGCAGCAAGCCATTTGAACTGCCCTTCGAAAAGTTCCGCCCATCGTCCAAGACGTCGAGAGATGTTAGTGATTGGCATCCCATCATCCTCGTAGATTGTTTCACTCACACCAGACTTCTTGCTGCCAGTGGCTCGGATGAGTTGGAAGAGCTTCCGGCAGTTACCAGATGCAGCTGCTGCTTCCATCTCGTTAGCACGCTCCGACCACCAGGCTTCCCGGTCCTTACGCAAGCTTTGCCCGATTTCATTACGTAACAGCCTTCGTTTGTGGTCAAACTCACGGTCACCCGGAGTAGACCGACGGGCTTCCATCAGTTGTAAGGAGCCAGAAGAAACCCAGTGCTTGTAAGCGGGACGTTTCGCGAAGCCGCAAGCGGCTTTACTCGCCATTTTCATGGCGTCGTGAAGACGCAACCAATGCTCATCTATACTTTTCGGTGGGATGGTAGCTAGCCTAGAGGCTAGCTTCGCTCGATACTTACTTTCAACAGATGTTGCAGCCAGTTTACTAACATCGATCCGTTGGTGGTGGTCAATCCTTCGGCCACTGAAAAGTAAGGTGAGAATGGCGCAGACCAGGGCATGATCAGACTCCAGATAGGTACTCCAAAAGGAGCAACAGTCTTGTACACAACCACGCCAGTGGTAGCTGATCGCGATGTGATCAATCTGAGTCCAGGCTTGAGATGCAGAGGGAGGACGCCAGGTGGCACACCGGCGATGACTGTGACGGAAGTTAGTGCTAGCCAGAAACAGTTTGTGGTCTGTGCACAGTTGCAGCAAACGGTCCCCGTTATCTGTCCTGCGACCAACAAGTCCCCATCGGCCACCTTAACGACTCTCTTCTGTGCCTAGACGCTCGACCTGTGCATTCAAGTCTCCTGCTAGTACTACAATATCTGTCGAACGCGCTTTCTGGAGAAGAACTGTTAACTGGTGGTAAAACTCATCCTTGATTGCATCCGGGCTGCAATCTGCATAGGCGGAGATGACGAAAAGACACCGTTTTTCACGCCGATTTCTTCTCACTTTGATGGAACTTTCTAATCTAACAGCACATAACCGACTATTAATGGGGATCCAATTGATTAGTGCTGCCTTAGCGCTTAGTGCAACACCAACGCCTGCAAGACCAGACGAAGATGCCACAGGGTCCCCGGATAAGCGCACGTGAAACAAGCTTTTCGAGACAGATGGAGAGCGAATTTGTAGTGCTTCACTAGAGTCTCGAATACGGGTCTCGGATAGACAACAAACATCAACATTAAGACCTTCCAAAGACATAGCCAGCCCTATCTGTTGTCTGATATGCATTAGTGTGCGAACGTTGAAGGAAGCCAGCTTGAACGGCGTACGTGGTTTTAGAAAGACTGCTTCAGTATTCATAATCGGTGGAAGCATTCACTTTCAACCAGACAGTGACTGGAGATCGTTTAGATAGGACAGATTTTCCACTAAGAGCGAGCTGCTGCATAAGTTGAAGAGTAAGGTTACACAAATTGTGAATAAAAGGGGGTGAATTAGCGATATGGTAAGTAATAATAATAATAATAATAATAATAATAATAATAATAATAATGTAAATTGTCTTGCTTCTAGTATGAGCGAGGATAGTATCGTCAATAGAATTCATCATTTCATTTATTTGTGTGTGGGCTGTGATACTGCCCGGGTGCCCAAACCGAAGCAGGTGGTTTTCTTAGGGGGCCACACCCCGAGCCTTTGACCAAAAGGTCTGATCCACAAGGCAGTGGAGCATCGTGAGGAGATGCAGTCCCATAGTAGCCGGTGACCAACAGCAGGTTCATTCGCCATTCGTTCCATCAGGATACTGGAGCCCATGTGCACCATTGGTTTGGAATCAGGGTTTTCCAACTCCCCTAGGTGGACCCTCCGTGTCCACCAACCCGGTTAAAGCGCCGGACATTCGCTTTTCGTCCTCTCACTTTCGTAAGCAACACCCCTGCCACGAGAAGGCAGTGAATAGGACTTCCCTGTCAGAGGCTATATATTCGCGTGGCCATGTGAGAGCATTTCGAGAGGGAGAATGGACTCTCCCCACTCTCGGCCGTACCAGGGCATTTGGGGGCAACTCACAAATTATGTTTAGATTATTGATTACTGTCTCCCACGTTCATTCGTACAAATGTTATTTTCTATTTTATGATGTGCTGCGGTCTTTTTGTCTGATATATAAATCAAGTATGCTTGAAGTAAATGAGTCGCATAACAGAAGCTGTATATATATATATATAATACTAGTCCATTAATAAGTCCCGGAAGTTACCCTTACTTATGTCTTCATTAAGATATAACACTTTACAACCGTAACTTCTATTTTAACGTGGTTTAATTTCCTGCATAGCTTAAATGACTATGTACACCAGGTTCTGCGTTGCGAGTCACTATCCTAAGTAGTTAAGATGGATATCGGTTACATTAGAAGCGGAACGTCTGAAGTTTAAGGCCTAAGTCATACTGCTTACCGTCTAGTCACTCTCTTAAGTCAAAAAATCGTCATTACTAATTCATTTCTTTCCACACTGTACAACCGAGAAAGGTCAACCACCGGCATAACATAACATTGACTCATTCAAACTTTTGATTGCACTAAATATTTTGCGCTATTCCTTTATATTATTTAAACCTATTTCAATTCGGTTATTTATTTATTCTCTGACAAAGCAACTTACACTAAACCACGAAACGTCGAAAATTATCTACTCACTTAAAATATCACTATTTTTATCATACTCAACCTAATCCTCAATTTCTTTGAAATTATCAAATCAAACCTTGGTAATAATACTGATATCATAATTACTAGTTATCGATTCTACATCACTTTAGATAGAGTCTTCTCGCGAACGACTTCAAACTTTGCTCGAAGAATATGAAAATGCACGATCGCATCAACTTGAAAATTGTGAAATGTTACCTGAATCGATTTCAAGAGTGAAGTGTCAACTTGATTCAATTGAATCAGATATGCATAGGTTATTTGAAGCCTTTAATCACATTGTGGATCGTAATATAACACTTCAAAGCTATGAATGTTTACTGGAGTCAGAATTGAAACCAGCAATGGATCAGGGGTATGTGGTGATGGATAAACTTGAATCATGTGAAAAACAAGAGAAGGTAAGGTTTTATTAAGAAAAAAGTATTGATTGTCTTTTGTTACATTTAAAGCCTTTATATTATGAAGATTACACTAAACTCTGCGTAATTCAACCGATCGAATAAGCCAGAACTTATAATCAGTAGTTGGTTACACAATATATTTAACTCCATAAGATTTACTTGACTTCATTTCTCTTTGTTGGGTCATAAGTAAAGTGATCTAAGTAGGGAAATTGTTTATCTATGCTCAAATGTAACCCACTTCCCAAATATTCGCATATTAGGAACTCAGTAACATTTACTATGATTTCATTGAATCATTTAAAACGTTTCTTTTGCTTCCGGACTAACTATTTATTTACATGTGTTTATGAACTTAGTAAGCGTTCTGATAAAATTAGATACTCAAATTTTGAAGAGATTTTTTGGCACAAGTTGTAACTTTTAATAATGGTTATCTTGTTATTTAACTTGTTTCTGGTGTCGTTTTGTTTATTAGTCAATAGGTATACTGCCGCGTAGTGTAGTATCACGGATTTAAGAGAGTAAGTGTTAAGTGTTTTTTGATTCATGTCACATTAATTGTAATTACACAATGATGATAAGGCTACAAGTACCATACTGATGTTTATATGAAGCGACCAAATTTAAATAATTTTCCAACCCATTATTTTGTCTTCATGGTCATTTACCACAAATGAGTAAATTTATTAATAGTTAACAGAGATGGATAGTGGCTAGCAGTGGAATCCAGGACGCGCGTTTCGTCGTATTTGGGACTCGTCAGCTGGATGTACCTGCATCTCAGAGTTGATGTTCACTCTGAGACTCAAACCCAGTACCCTCGCTTCAAACGCCATCGCGTTATCCACTCGGCCACTGAGTCCTGATAGCCACTTGCTTGTGCGATGGGGTGAAGTTTAAATTCAACTTAGTATTGTTTGTTTGAATCTTCCCATCGATTTGTTAGGACTGCAACTGGTCAGTCTCTAATTGGCATATGTGCATACTGTGCGTATTGCCTCGATATACCTTAATTCACAAGCATGGTTAGCAGAGATGGACGAGCCCCAAATAGGACGAAACGCGCGTCCTGGATTCCACTTCTAGCCACTATCCATCTCTGCTAACCATGCTTGTGAATTAAGGTATATTGAGGCAATACGCACAGTATGCACATATGCCAATTAGAGACTGACCAGTTGCAGTCCTAACAAATCGATGGGAAGATTCAAACAAACAATACTAAGTTGAATCTAAATTTATTAATAGTTTCCAATATCAATTAGGAAATGATTACAAATACATTATTTTCGTCGCATTCACCTTATTATGAATTCAACAATGGTTTGAAATTTTAATACTGAATGTTATTTTTACCCTAACATTATTTTGTCACTAATGAGGTTTTTGATAATTTTCGATAGTTCAAGAAGACGAAGTTTATCAGAACTATTTGATATATTAGCGCAATACATTTCGAACAGTCTGATCACACATATACTTGTTAAGAACATTTATATATAAAAATAAAAGGTCAACTAGACTGGAAATGGGGGGGTGTAAGAGGAGACAAGGATAATAATAATAGTAAACAATTTGAAATCTAATCACTCTGGATAATAAGTTAATATTACCAAGGTAGGTTTAAGGTGAGAACAAACTGTTTTTGAATGCACAAAGGGGGTTTGAATTTTCGTATGTCTAAGGCTTCAATGAACCTTAGTATACGCCCTTTTACACTTCTATACAACACCATAAAAGCCGAGTTAAGATCAATCTTATGGCCTGTTTTGATTGTGCGTTTGACAATAGAGGATGACGGATGTTTATCCTCTACTCTTATTAAGTTATTTGATTCTATTTGTTTCTGCAACCATTTTGGTACATGTTCAAACACTCTAATTTTGAGATCACGATCCATATGTATGTGTGACCATACACACATTTAAATTGGTAAACACAGTGGGATGTGACACAATCGTTTTCATTTCTTTTAGGTTTTGAATGAAGCATGAACCTCGATCTTTTTTGATAATGATCTTTGCTGCACAATACGTTTTGTTGATGACTGATTTAAGCCTTTGTTTCAATTAAAAAACTATTTGAATCACCTCTAAATGGTAAGGCAATGTAGACAGACTTTTTTTCCACTATAATAACTAAGGCATTGGCCTGTCCACGTTGGTTTTCGAAAAATGGATCGTTTAATTGAGCCGTCTTGTCTACTTAGAAGTATATCCAGGAAGCGAAGCCGGTCGTTCTTCTCCACTTTGCATGAGAGACTGATGTGGTTTTGAATAGTGTTATGTTTATTCAATAAACAGTTCATATCTTCGTTTCTTTCACAGACAACTAAGATATCTTCCACATATCTCTTATAAAGTGAAACGTTTTCAATTTAGTCTTCAACCAAATTTTCAACATGTGCCATAAACACATCTGCTAATAACGGTCCTAACGGACTACCCATAGCAACCCCATCCATCTGGCAAAAGTATTCACCTTCAAAAGTGAACTGAACTTTGTCAGTACATAATAGTGGTAAATCTTTTAGAATTTTTAAAGGAACAGGTAATTTAAGGTTATTTATAGATATGTAGTCACAATATATCAATAGTCCTTTTCAAAGGAACACATAGTCTTTCCATTGATATTAATATCGCCTAAATGACCGACCAATTCAAAAGAATCCTCCAGAGAATACTTACATAAACGTCTTCGAATAGGATCCAGCAATTTTGTTAGCCATTTCGCTAGGTTATGTGTATGTGATCGGCACATTGATAAAGGTGGGCGTAAAGGAATATTTGATTTGTGAGTTTTAGGTAGTTCATATAAATGAGGATACTCAGAACCCATAGGTTTTAAGAAATTAAATTCCTCTTTATCAATAATATTCTTGTGTAACAATTTTTCCAGGTTTGGATTTACTCTTCTCTCCAGTTTGTTAATACCTTCAAATTTAACATTAGGCATGAATTTACTTTCATCACTGAGAATGGATAACACATTACTTTTATATTCAAATTTGTTCATGATAACCACACCTGATCCTTTATCAGGCTTCAACAAGACAATATCAGGGTTTAAAATGCTGAGAAGTTAATATGCATCTCTGCTTTTGTCCAACATTATGAAATTGGTGTGTTATATCCACCAATTTATCTTTACACCAGCTTTGATTATTTAAAGACGTAAGGGTTAAAGTACTCAGTTGATCATATAGATTTTCGAATTGGGCATTTATTTCTAATTCAGACATTTGTGTTCTAGGGACCGAGAAATTAAAACCAAGAGACTCGACAAACAAGATTTATAAAAGTTAATTTTTACGTGTTCCGATACAATTTTACATTTAGGGTTGACAAGTTCATCTAACCTTCTAACAGTGTGTACAGGGAGTCTTTTAAGAAATTTAAAATAATTAGTTTCTTTGATAAATTTCGATAGTGTAATAAGAAGATGAAGATTATCAGAAATATGTTATATATTGGCGCAATACATTTCGAACAATCTGATCTGATATATAAATGTTCTTGACAAGTACATGATGTGTGATCAGATTGTTCGAAATGTATTGCGCTAATATATCACATAGTCTTGATAATCTTCGTCTTCTTATTACACTATCAAAATTTATCAAAGGGACTAATTGCTTTAAATTTTTGATAATTGTTGTATTGTATTTTTAAGCATAATCTCCAACTGCTTTTTATTCTAGAGTACTCAAGGTAAAATTGATGTTCTAACTACAGATTTAAAAAATATGGATATTTCGTTAAATGAAGCTAAACAACACTTAGTGGAATATCGATCACAACTAGTAAGAAAAAAAGTATTGTTGAATACTAAAAAAAAGGTAATTCGTAACTGATTTGTCTGTATAAGTATGTTACTTGTCTTTCTCCAAAGTACTGAACTACAATATTTAATTTTCTAAAATAGTACAGTATGTGTCTACTGCTCAGTTGTTTAATTATCAACCTTTTAACTGTCGTGTTGTCTGGTCGAAGTTCACTCCATCTTTTCCTTTTTAGTTTGACAAGTTAGTGTCTCCGGACTCTAGAATATAAGTAGTATTGAAACTTACTACATGAAACCTGTGATTAGTTTGTACTGATTATTTTCCATTAAAATATAAAACTCAAAACATTTGTACCTTGATAACTCAACAATGTAACCATCTTCTAATTTCATGTAATGATGTTGTGGAAGTTTACTGTCTAACTATAATAAGAGTATTTACCAGTGTATGAGGGATTAATCATTTTGATGAAATGATTATGACAAAGAATTTTACATGTTTACTAACTCTTCCAAGTGAAATCTATGGTTACCAATACAGTTTTAGTAGTGTGTATATGATTTCAATAGTAATAATTCCTTATTATTATAGTATTTTGACTACACATCTCCAAAAGCACTCGAGGTCGCCTTGTTTACATTCAAATAACTTCATCGTCTAATATTTCTTTTATCTCTACCAGCAACTCTCTCCCTACCCTCCACTAATACTAACAGTTCCAGTCCACAGAAAGTTATTCATAGTCACCTGAAACCTCTTTCTAAACTGCATATTAGAACGTTCAACTTCCGAATTTTATGTCAAATCCAATAATAGCTTTCACCAGCTCGAACCCTATAGCTCGTGCTGTTTACATATGTTGCATCTCCGAAACACATTGGATCCAGATGTGGTCGGTCACCCACTTGATTTCATCCACTGAATATAGAGGACCAGGATAATTTATTCTTCGTACACATAAGGACTAAAATTTCTTACATCCTTACTAGCGTCGGTGTAGAACTACGTTCCAAAACAGAAAAGTCTCTTCTAGATTAGATTTCGGTAGACAGTCACTTGTTCACTGTCCTACTGAAAGGTACTCTAAGCACTCTGAAAGATAGGGACACAAGTCGCCTCTTCGTTGTCACTGCATGCGCTCCTACTAACTACAGTCCAAATAAAGAAAATAAGTGAGTTTTATAGAAAGCTTTCCGACCTTCAGAAGGCTAAACGCTCATGTGTAACAGTCTAATCGTATGAGGTGATTTTAATTCCCAATTAGGTAATCAAAATAAAATATATTTAGATATGGGTCTTGCGGTGTTCTAGCTCATTGAGTAGTAACAACTGTTCGGCGCAACTATGTAACACTTCGTATTTGAAGGGGGAAAGCGCATCCCAGACATGCTTCAATCGTTTTTCAAAACGATCAGGATACTATGTATCGAATAAAAGAAATTATATTACCAGTGTATTATTGGTCAATAAATGAACATCATGGTGGATGATTAATTATCAAATGTTACATCCAGTAGAGCCCAGGTTTCACAAGAGTAGTGTGGAACTGATCGTACATAAGGGCCCTTACTTTCGAATTCTTGTGTTTAGATCAACGCTTTAGTGGTACCAGAGGCAACTCAAACACATGCTCTCTGACTCTTGGCATTTTGGATATTGGTCACATATCTTACACTGTCACTGACGTAAAATTACGCGAATATCTCTTCTTTTCAACATGTCACCACTCAGTAGTGTACAGATACAATAGTGCTAAAGTACTTTACACTCCAGCGATACAATCCATATTTAGTAACGCTCATAGCCAGCCGATTAAGTGCGATTCGCAGAGCTTTCAGCATATTAAGCAGCAAGATAGTTACATCCATATGCTCAAGATAAAAGACATTTTCCAGCAACAGATCTGATTTATTATAGTCAGTTTAGAATAAAGCTTATCTTTGTACTTGAAGACATTCCAAGAGACGTGGTAAGTTTATATTACGCGTTATGTGTATCATGTATGTTTTCTGTATAATCCTCTTTATCATGCTTTACCCATTTTAGACACGTGAAGCTGATATCGCCAACAAGACAAAGGAGAACGAATCATTTATATCTGAACGACAACATTTGAAAACCCGATTATCCGAAATAGCCCAAGAAAATTCCTCTATTGTTGAGCAAATCAATTTAGAAGAACAAAGGCTTCAGACGGTAATCAAAATTAACAAAACTTGTGGAAATTTTTCTTTTTTTCAATGCAGTGATGAAGTTCAATTCAAGTTTTTTCCCTAATATCCGATTCGACCTCTGTGGTTACAAAATGTTGTGAACCAAATGCCATCTGCTTCCGTCAATGTCTATAGCCACTTTGACACTATTTTAACTAAAGGGGGGAGAACTAAAGATATATATTTCGTAGTTTAATGGTCAACCATATCCTTTATACGGTCTTCACTGAATTTATTTATGAGATAGATAAATAGCTAGTAATCTGATTGAATTAATATGACTGTTATTAAGTAAAATTTGCTTAGTAATAAGAGTTTGGATGTTTGGGCGAAATTACATTCTTTGTATGCACCATGCAAGAATAATCTATCTTGAATTCAATGTTAACTGGAAACTAAGAATCCTACTAGAGTTCGTGTTTATCCATATGGGCTCCTAAATCAGTCAAAATCAACAGTTGTTAGACTATTCAGTTAATTGGAAACAACAGCACATCCTTTGAAGTTAAAAGTTTACCCACTGATTTGTGATCTAGCTATTAATTATATTAATGATTGTATGACAGCGATAGAGTTTGTTAGTTGTCCTTAACGCACGTTCGCTGATTCGAGATATGTTAAAAAATGTGCGCTACTTGTTAAACCGGGAAACGTATTATACAATCGGTTTTTAGACCCATTTTGTTATTCTTACTAGGGGGAACAGTATCAACATAATGAACGAAAAGTTCTTGAGACAAAAAAATCAAATATTATAGGCGAACTATAATCCTAAGTAGTGTGTGTATTTGTAGAATCTTCTCTACACTTCTATATACAGTTTCAAAGTCTATGTTACCTTTTGAACTTGCTTCTGCCAAAACATTGACCGTGAATAAACATCACTATCGACTCTTTTTTTTGTTGAATTAATGTTTTCATCCACAGTTAATTAACTGCACGACTATCAAGCATTAATAATGGTTGACTATGGCTGGCTGGGCATAAACTCCATGCTTTCAAGTCATATAAGTATATCGTATTCAGTAATAGCGGTTATATTTTCATTTATTTAATCACTCAATTGTAGGTATTTCGGAATAATTTCAATCATAGAATTAATTGGAGGTAGTTCTTTTCGTATGTAGTAGTTTTTTTCCATAACGACTGATCGCCCTACACTTGACGCTTCCGTACGTGTAATGATTTATGGTGTAGGAGTAGGTTGGAAGAAAGCTACGGCGGCCAGACCGAAACGTGGCATAAATTCATGAAGTCTCTGATAAGTGGACTGAGCCATATTGGTAGTTGTAGACTACCTGGTTAGTATTCGCGAGATGATAGCAACCGATGGTTAGAGACCTTGAATGAAATGGCTCAAAATCGTTTGCAATGGCGAAGGTGCATCCACTTTTTGTGTTCTACCAAATTCTAATTCTCTGAATTCCTCATGTCCCTATCCTTTTTCTCTTCCCAAATTTATCTCACTGTATTATACTCCTTCAATAACATCTTCAAACCCTAATCTTTCACATAATGCTTATACTCTTACTACTTCAACCGCTATGGGGTTTGAATCGACAACTTCATCTCTGTGCTATTGTGGTATGGCAGCTCGAACTGATGTACGTACGTACGAAGTTCTACGCTGTGACTGACTGACTGACTGACACATCTGTAGCATGATGGAGTGGTACTTTCATCGCAGAAAACCTGACATTCTTTATGTAAGCCAGCAAAAACAATATAGTCGTTTAAAGATCCCCATCATATTAAAAGTCTAATATTTGAACGAAGAATATTCTTTTCGATAAATTCTCTTCAGGTTCTACAATTATGTATCCAAATTAATAATATTCTTCGTTCAAATATTAGTCTTTTAAAAACGATATAACGAAACTATAATGTAAGCAATAATTCCTGCTTCATCTTGGTTGGTCACCAAGTGTAAGGTCAAAATCGCGAACGACAGTGGGGTTTATCCTCACCCTACATCATAATCCCAGCTTCATCCCGTTTTTCCGTTATTTACATACTACACTATACTACTTACTAATATTCGGTAGTTTGTGTTACTGTCAATCATTTTGGACGCGTGGTCTGCAGTTTCAGTTGTAATGCATTTATATCACATATCCCTGGCGTTTAATCCACTTTGATTATTATTATTATTTCATTCCCCTTTTATCCCTATTTGGTTTTCTTCATCATGTAAGTTGTTTGCGCTCACCTCTTTTGTAAAACTTTCTAGTTTAAACGTTGTCCGGATATCTGTATCACTAGGTGCTTTTTCTAATCCACAACTTATTTGTTTGAATTTAATAGTATATAATAGAACTGACTAAGCACTAATCATTGTCAACCAGTTAAATCACGGCACTAGAGGGGTTCACATACGAACCTAACCTAGTCTATGAGTGAACGTCATTCTTCATGCACCGGTTTACTGTTAATAACATATTTTGTACTCTGAGTTCAACAGTGAATAAACCCTTCAAGATTTAACTACCTAGATCTCACCCACATCTCCCTTCTAATCTACCATAACTAACATGTACTTCTTGTCAATCTTCAATATATATTCTGAAGAAGTGGCTTACATTAAGTCACGAAACGTCAGAAATACAATTTTTCTACTCATTAAGATATAACAAAAATATATTATTGTTATTTATTTGGTAGGATCCCTGTTAGAAACCTGATATTACGCCGAAACTCAGTTTTTATTTTTGTCAATTAGTTCCGTTGATACAATTCAAGACAAAAGTTTGATATGCATTCTAAAGTATTATTTAAGCCAACGTCCTTTAGGTATCAAGCTTCGAATTTAATGATCATATCACTTAGATCCTAAATACAGAAGAAATTTTGCCGCATTTGTTTTTTTAATCGTTTACTCATCTTGTGGAATATAACTTTGACATTGAAAAACAATTTTCATACTTTTAGAAAGAACTACTGTTTATTATAGTTGGTAAATATCTTGTTTTTAAAGTATTAATTGCCATAATTTGGAGTGGTTTATTTTATTCTTGTAGATCTCGAAAAATCATGTCCACGTTGAAGAGCTTAACAAATCGTTATTGGAAATAAGCCAAATGGTTTCTACTAAGGCACCTTTTCCTACATGAAAACTGCCATTTCTGATACAAGTTACGTATTTGGTTTAAGTACATTTTAACATTGAAAACGAAGTCATCAAAACTATGTACATGTATATCTATATATCCGTTTATTAATTTCTATTATTTTCATGTATAATTTTCAAAAAATACAAGATAATATTTTCAGTGACTAATTATACACCTAATACCTCTCTTTGACTTATCTCGTTCTCAGTTAGATAAAAATTTCATTTAAATGTGATGAGACAACTCATAGTGAATATTTATTGTGCTGTTCTCTCAACACTTATACGCTGATAAGTTTCATTTACACTCATGTCTCTAGTCATAGGGTATTTCTCACTCCAAAATGAATTAAGAGATCTTTGAATAATTCTTCATTGTTTGATATACAAGATTAAAAAGCCTCACATGAGTTCTTAACGAGAGTAATGAATGCTATCACTGTGTATAAATTCAGCTTTCCTTCCTGCCACTTCCACTTGGTTTCCCCATTTGTTTCTTGAAGGGACCCGGTAATGTGGCCATATTTAGTGTGAGAGTGATAAGTTTCTGCACCATTTGTCATGGGCCGGATATCTGTATATCCGTAGAATAAATCACACTAACCAAAATATGTGTGATGGAAATAGCTTACATTAACGACCCAGGATATCTGGATTTCCGTTATGGATCAATTAAGCACCTTTCAGACGTTGAAAGCTCTAATCTGTAGTTAACAAAATAGTTTCTATAAGTCAGGCATGAAATTTCTTAGATTCTACTCTCTCCTACCACTTGCTCAGTCCCAAATAGAGGCTGACTACAACGAAATAAAAAAGAGAAAAGGGCTTTTAATGAGCGTTAGTTTCGTTTTCCCTAAAAAGTGAACACAACTTCAGAAACACTAAAACAAAAAGATGTCTTTTTAATTAATACTCTGTTTTAACCTCCCCTTGGATGAACGACATTTGTATTTGATGTGTGGGCGAGAATGTCAATGATTGGTTGTCTCGATGAGTCAGACATTAGAGGGGATGACAGGTGTTATGTGTTATATATATATTTCCCTATCCTTATTATGTATGACTTCTTAACTGTTCCTTGTTGATGGACACTTATTGATTAACTGTTCTTTGTGTCGGATTTTCGTGTGGAAATATATTGACGATATAGTCAAGCTAATCTGGTGTTCTTGATCTGAGTTCTGTTGAAGTCCTGTAGAATAGACACTGGGTGGGAATCTAGTGTAGATATTCGTCTAAGATAAATTAACGTCCCACATACGTGTAAGAAGTAAAAGGACTGTTATAACCAGAAACCCCTAAAGTTATAACCAGCATCCTCTCTCTCTCTACGTTTATAACAATTGGCGACGGCATACATACGTTTATAACATTGGCGACGGTGATTAAAACGGACCTACGCTTACGTATTCAGTTAAAATGAATTTTGTATCAAGAAAATGGATGATCTGAAAACCTTATTGCAACAGCAAAATACTCTTATCGAATTATTAGTCAAAAATATGTCGATATCCTCAAGAACTGATGTGTCTAATTCCACTATGACTCCGGATTCTATTGCAAATTCAATAACTGAATTTAGATTTGATCCAGAAAGTGGAGTTACTTTTGAGGCATGGTTTAAACGCCATGAGGATTTATTTATTAATGAATGTAAAGAGTGGGACGAAAGTTCGAAATTGAGATTATTATTACGAAAGCTCGGAGTGTCCGAACACGAAAAATTCTGTAATTTTATCCTCCCAAAGAAGCCATCCGACATAACGTTGAAAGAAACAGTTGAATGCCTGACTCGTATATTTGGTGAGCGGTCATCAATTTTTCACACTAGATACCAGTGTCTTCAACTTGTAAAGAAAGTACAGGACGATTACGTAACGTATGCAAGTATCGTGAACCGGGAATGTGAGCGGTTCCGATTACAGGAAATGTCCTCAGATCAGTTCAAGTGCCTTATTTTTGTATGTGGATTACAATCTTCAGTAGATGCAGATATTAGAGCACGGATTCTAATGAGAATCGAACAAGATCCTAATATCAGTCTACAATCAGTATCTGAAGAGTGTCAAAGAATGGTTAATTTGAAGCATGACACGAATCTCGTAGAAAGGAACAGTGAACACGTGGGAATTAATGCTTTATGTAAATCTTTAAATGAAAATAAAGATTCGAACTCCCAGAAAATCCCAAATCAAGTGAAACACAAAACGTCATGTTGGCGATGTGGTAAGTCTCATTCTGCCAAAGTTTGTTACTTTGAAAAACGAGTATGCTTTCAATGTGGTAAATATGGTCATGCTCAAGTATGTTGTAAAAGTAAACCGAAGGTTTCTGACCGTGAGCATAAGTTCCGTAAAGGAAATAAGATACAGACTTCAAAAGAAATACCACAAAACCGTAAGTTAGAGGAAGATATAGTGGTTGCTTCTATAACAATTGAACCGGAAATAAAAAGAGTGTTCTGTGATGCTATCAAAATCCTACCAGTAACGGCAGAAGCAGTTAAAGAAGCCACGGGTAGTGATCCTCTACTTAAAAGAATAAAAGAAGCTGTTTTAAAGGGTTGGAAACAGGATAAAGCTGATCGAGAGTTTCACCAATTTTTCTTGAGACGTGAGTCTATATCGATTTATGATAATTGTTTGATGTATGGTGAACGTGTTGTTATCCCTAAATCTCTTCAGCTTTTTGTGCTTAAACAGTTTCACATTGGTCATCCGGGAATGAACAGAATGAAGGCATTTATGCGTAGTTATGTTTATTGGCCATTCATGGATAAGGCTGTGGAAGAATACGTAGTGAGATGTCGGCGATGTGCCGAAGTTGCAAAAGATCCACCGAAGGTAGAATCCCAGCCATGGCGAGAAACGACAAAGCCTTGGGTCCGACTACATGTTGATTATGCTGGACCAATAAGTGGACAATATTTTTTGGTGGTGGTTGATTCATACTCAAAATGGCCTGAAATTTATGTGGTACGAAGACCATCTACGTCTGAAACACTGCTACATCTGAGACAATTATTTGGTAGGTTTGGTACATCTAATGTTTTGGTTTCAGATAACGGAACGCAGTTCACGTCGTTAGAGTTTGCGGAGTTCTGTAAACAGAGCTCTCTTAAAGATGGGAGGAGAAGGCAACGTAGAAGAGGCTCTGCAACAATTTCTCATTTCTTATAGAATTACGCCAAGTCCAAACTGTCAAGATGGGAAATCTCCAGCCGAAATAATGTTTGGCCGACCGATTAGAACATTTTTTGATGTTTTGAACCCGAAAGACAGAATCAGTGGACTACAAAAAAATAACAAAGGGAATTGCCTGAAAATTCGAGAATTCAAAGTAGGTGACTCAGTCTATGCACGGGATTTCCGGCCTGGCAAGCCAAAATGGATATTTGGGTTTATAAAAAAACAACGTGGTACAGTGTTATATGAAGTGATGGTCGAAAATACACTAATTATTAGACATGTAAATCAACTGCGAGATAGAAAATGTGTTTATGAGTCATCTAAACTCAAACCATTACCAATGGAAGTTTTATGTGATACATTTGATATTCCACCACCACCACCACCACAAGTTGAAATGAGAAAAAATGATCTAGAATCAGAAGTTAGACGAAGGTCATTCAGGAAACGGAAACAAACGAAATTTTTTCAAATAGACCCTAAAGTGAAATCATACGATCAAACTTCGCGAGGGAGGTGATGTGTGGGCGAGAATGTCAATGATTGGTTGTCTCGATGAGTCAGACATTAGAGGGGATGACAGGTGTTATGTGTTATATATATATTTCCCTATCCTTATTATGTATGACATCTTGACTGTTCCTTGTTGATGGATACTTATTGATTAACTGTTCTTTGTGTCGGATTTTCGTGTGGAAATATATTGACGATATAGTCAAGCTAATCTGGTGTTCTTGATCTGAGTTCTGTTGAAGTCCTGTAGAATAGACACTGGGTGGGAATCTAGTGTAGATATTCGTCTAAGATAAATTAACGTCCCACATACGTGTAAGAAGTAAAAGGACTGTTATAACCAGAAACCCCTAAAGTTATAACCAGCATCCTCTCTCTCTCTCTACGTTTATAACAATTGGCGACGGCATACATACGTTTATAACAGTATTGATTATATCTGTTCTTTAAGATGGTTAAGAACTATCTAGATCTCTTTGTTCGCTGAGTACCGTTACTGGGACATGTTTTCCTATCGTTAAATCGTTCAACTAAATGATTTTTATATCAAAGTGATCCTGTCACTTTAAATGTTGCATAAAAGAACCTAGTTACTTTCGTGTTCTCAAACACACTTGTCCGACAAACTAATATGTATGAATGACAGACTATACTAGCACAAGTAGTAAGCTGAGAATACAAGTCATATAAATTACGGAATTAGTTATTTTTATACTTTTCACTGTGTTTAGCCACTCAATGATTAAAACGCGAATGGGATAATAAACAGCTACATTCATACAACCAGCATAGGTTCTAAGCTATACAACATCCCATTTCTACAAATCATTCAGTCATAAGATTTGCGAACACAAGACCATCTGGTATTGTATAATTTTCTAAGGAATTGTCAGTAACATGATCACCTTGACTCTACATTAACTTGTATAAAATTCTTTAACTAAAATCATAGACATAATCTTGTTTTTCACTCATGCTAAACAATACGAAGATATTAGTCATATTGATTAGTTGTATGATGTGAAGGATAATGACGACGATTCTCCATAGAGAGGTGGGTATTTTCTTATCACTGAACTTTTTTCTTTACATGTTACTTTAAAGAGACTAGATTTGCATAATGACTATGCTTTTTGAACAAATGATGTCAAACAAAAGATGTCACTAAATTCTTTTTCAATATGTGCATGATGCATCCAGTAGAGTTGAGTCACCGTATAGTTTTTTAAACAAGTATCTTTTTTCCAGGAACTCGACATATATAATTAATTATGTTACTGTCATGCCATTATTTCAAATTTTGATCTTACTGAAAACAAGATTTTAAAGGATGATAAGCGTTACATGTATCAATCTTAAATTGTAAAGTATAGGTTGAAGGTATTATTTATATACTGTGTGGTGATCTACGTTCACATATTTGAATAAACGATCAAAACATGATAAATTATCTCTAATCTTAAATATTGGTTCAACTGTTTTTCGTCACAAACTGAAATCAAATAACCAATAAAAACCAGAGAGAAATGGAAAATTGTTTTTTTTGGTTTAATGAAGTTATGAAAATACTTAGGAGGTGTTTGAAGCAATTAATTATTCAACGATTTCTTCGAAATTATTATCCAAATTGATCTCGATTAAAAACTTCAAACAAGAATAACAATCATTTAACTAGGAGGATTAATGTCCCCAAATGCTCTGGTACGGCCGAGGGGAAAGTCCTATTCACTGCCTTCTCGTGATGGGAGTGTTGTTGACGAAATTGAGAAGGCGGAAAGCGAATGTCCAGCGCTTCAACCGCGTCGGTGGATACGGAGGGTCCACCCAGGGGAGTTGGAAAACCGTGATTCCAAACCATTGGTGCACATGGGCTTCAGTACTCTGAGGGAACAAATGGCGTATGAATCAATTATTGGTCACCGGCTACCATGGGACTGCATCTCCTGACGTAGCTTCACTGCCTTGTAGATCAAAGGTCCCGGGGATGGCCCCCTAAGAAAACCATCTGCTTCTGTTTGGGCACCTGAGCAGTATCACAGCCCTCACACAAATCAAATGAGATTTGTGCGGCGCATATATATCTGGTGCCCCTTTGTACCAACATTATGTGTTTAAACAAATAAGAGGATTAATAGAAACGGATTTGTACTGATAATACATTAATCAACAACGAATATAATGACTACACCCCACCCAAGTAACCTTATCCTTCATTACGCAACAGATTATCTGAAGACAGCACTTATCCTGTGACAGAAGAATTAATATTTAACAAAAAGATCACTTACATTTAATGATATATGTTGACTGGTTTAGCAACAACAGTAGATGATAAATTTGTCGTATTTCATTACTTTTCTTACAATTGTATGCATGCTAATAAAAACAGTTACTTCGGATTATTAATATGCTTGAAATTACTAGAAAAACTATTTGTTTGTATAGATTGAATTCACTCCCTCATGTTTAATTAAGTTCATTGTTTTTTCCACTTCCGAAAGTACATTTATAACATTATAAATTGCTCAATAAAGATTTTACTTCTGAATTTCTATCGTTTACTTTCAAATATGAATCAGAGAATTTTGAAGCAGTTATTTATTTAATTCCGCCTGTAGCTTTTCTAGAGATAGTGCCGGTCACAAGCCCGGGTAAAGTACGAGGGTTGAGCATGGGGTTAGCTAAAAAAACGCTAACGAACTTTTTTCTAATAAGGTATAGACTTAAACTCAGTCTACTTATAAAGAGTCATTTGAACAATCAGTTAGTATAAATAGTTTATATAAAATAAGTGTGTTTCGTAAACTAGTACACAAATATATACTAATTTCTTGAATTACATCCTGTTAATATGGACTAACTTATTCGTTTATGCATGCTAGAATTAAATGAATTTACGGCGAGACTAGAATTTATGGACGAGCAAATCAGAAGCGTCTGAGAGATTTCAAGGTCACGGCGCCTATTTCAGTACCTGATGCTCATGTACGGTCGGTTCACAGAGAATTTTAGAGAAGACTTGACAATTAAGCGGCTACAACAAATGAAACTACTAAGAAGTTCCTGTATTTGTAATTACGGGTATTAAATGACTTGTAGACCTTGTGCAGACTGCTGTGATGTTGTCCATCGATGTAATATATGTTAATGGAAGACGTTTGCTAGAATAAGAACCCTTGTCGCTCGATCCAGATTGAGACTAAGGCATATTATAATCATTACCGCCAACTGTTTAATAAAAGCACCAGTAACATTGGCTGCAATAATCGCAGATATTACTGAAGATTCGGTTGTGCAGTAGTATGAGTATTGTAGGTAATTATCTATAATAAAAATGATAAACTTACACAACCGGAGTACAAACAAACAATACTAAAGCTATGTGGTTGAGGCTGAGAGGGTTTTTATGACCTTATCATGGCTCCAGGAACCAACTATGATGGAACCATATGGATGAGTTCCCCTACCTTATGCATAACGATTTTGGAACCTTTAGACCTTTTTCTAACATTGACAAGTTTTTGGACCATATAAAAGAAGTGTATCCACTTTAATTATTTGGTTTTGTATAATATATTCTTTCTTTATGCTGACTGTTTACTGATTGTCTAACATTTCTCAAGGTCACTTGAGATTCGTTCAAAAGTCGTCTATAAATTGTAGTCTCGCCGAATTTACTTAGGATTCATTTAAACTCAAATTATATAACAACCTAATAGATTAACTTTATCTGTAAGGATTTAGAAAAAAAGAAAGGGTTACCAATGTTATTCATTATTCATTTTATTTTGGAACTGAAGATTTTTCTGAACAATAAAATAATTGCGGAATGTTTCTTTATACAGTTTTAGTATACACATATACAATAAATATGTAATCATATAGGTATTTATGTATCCTCTATGTTAGATAAAGATATCTATTTGTTTGTGATCAGTAAATAATTTTTTTTCTTTTTTCTATCTATATATCTATCAAATACACACACACACACACATGCATATGTAAAATTCAATATTTCCTAATGTAGAAAAACACAAGATTTTTCATTCAATAGTATCTGTCTAGTTGCTGTCTGTGTAGTGATTGATTTGTCAACTGCTATAGATAATATAGCACTGATTAAAAGAAGAATTATTCCACAAATTGAAGCTAATGGCGCCCAACCTGTGAAGATGAAAAATAATAATAAAGAGAGGGCACATGTTTAGTTATATATAGTTGTCTAGTGTTTCTGCGTTACTATACCATTGGATTGTGAATATTGTGTATCCTGTGTACAATATAGTATTGTTAGTAATGTGATTTATTATTCTTCGTGCTCATAGTTTTACTCAGTACTGTCGGAAAAACTGACTAGTTTATAGCCAGAAAGGTGTTTTTGCGTCTCTAATAAGTGAAGTATTTTCACTTTGTTATCTAAGTGCTGACACACATGAACCAAATCAACCTTAAAATGAATATATAATATGAAGGATAAGCTTTTACTACTATTTTTACTCACTCGTTTCTTCTTTAGTGTGTAGAAATGAGATCCGATAACTAGTAGCGAAAAAGCAAGTTTATGGTTGTTTGTAATATGCGTAGTACATGTAACATAAAGTTATCTAGTCCCGTTTCTCCGGAATACTAATCGCCTTACATTATACTGTGCCTAGGATCTTCGGTTTTGAGATAGACATGATACTGTCTATTCTTGAGAAATCGATGTAATTAAATAAAGAACGAGGAAGCTGTTTATTGTTCATATTGAATAACAGTCACACTTTATCATAAATTGGATGAGGTTGTACAACATGGTTCATTGGATTGATACTAATTCGTTGAATTCCATAATGATAGTTTTAGCACCTAAAGACGTTGGACATGGTCTTATGTGAAGGCAGTGAGTATTGTTTTCTGAAGAATCTTAAACTACGACGAAAAAGTGTCGTTTGATTTTTAGCTGCTTCAAATCAACTGACTTTTCAGAAATGTTAACTTCGAATCAATAACATTTAGTTGTGTATATTGTCCTTAGATGTAAATATATCTACCCTATTTCCTATTCACAAGCAAGAAGAATTATGTGTGAAGTAAATTCCAATATCCATGAAAACGTTTTTCAGAACATCTGGTGCAGTGTAACCGGTTAACATTTTAGATTCAATATGAATCATATCAGTGGGAAAAATTTGATTTGTACTCTCACTGCATCCCTCTAAGCCGAATTCGTTAATTAATAAAACAAGCTATTATTATAAACGTGTATCATAGATAAATATTCAAAAGTGAAAGTCAAGTGGAATTGATCACATCTGAATCATTGATCCTTTCTATGTTGATACAATGCATGGCTGATAATTAAACTAACTTTTTTTAGAAAGATGTAGATTTTATTGAACTCAGCTAGACATACCTATGGAACAGTTTCCTTTTGAATAAGGTCCAACACTGCCACCACAAACTTCACGAATTGTAACTGAATCCCATCCTGCTGGCCACATGATGATAGATGTTAGTAGAATTAAATCTGTGTCAAGAAAACAAAAAAAAACAATTAAATATATAAAAAAATAACTTTACACATTTAAAAATGAAGACAAACTCGATTCTATGAAACTAGAAATTTTATCATTTAAGATAGACTAAGTTAGTAGATTGATTGAAACTAATGGGTTTTTTTAGTTTCCTGTTGAATACTCTATCGACTGTTCTTGAAGTGGATTTCAGTAGGACTATATGACTAAGCAGTTATAAATCTCTTATTCATACAATAGTTAAACAAAACAATCAATAAACTAGTAACTCAACATAAATTAACACATTGTTATGCTGAACCTTATGTTCAACCATATATGTGAAACGATTCAATTAATTTTTGCAACCAACTAGTCATTCACTAACATATCCTCTTCAATGCTGAACTATCATTCTAATTTAGTCATTATACTGAGTCTAACATTAAACCACGAGTAGAATACATACTAGGACTCACCAATAAAAGTTACTACTAACAGAATTGTCGAGATAGTTATGTTATAGAACTAATTATTTCATTACTATTTTGTAAATTTTTAATAGTTGAAATCATGAGTCAATTGAAGCTAGACCACCATGGAAAACGTGGAAGCACTGGACGGTCGTTGTGAGATAACAACTCACTGAAGAATATTGATGAACGATTGCTCAAATTTCGTGGATCAGTTGAAGTTAGACATTAACACCGTTGGATTTCGGCTTAGTGGTTTATCGGTTAAATGCTCTGGCTCGAGACTGGTAGGTCCTGGGTTCGAATCTCGCGAGTGAGGGGTCGTGGATGCGCACTACTGAGGAGTCCCATAGTAGGACGGAGCGGCCGTCCAGGTTTTCCATGGTGGTCTAGCTTCAATTGATTCATGATCTCAACTATTAAAAGTACTGAAATCTCCCCCAAAATCCCCTTCTGAGAATTTTGTAAATTACAATAAACATGGATTTGCAGGTATCATTGCCAAGGTTTGACTTGATCATTTCGAATAAATTGAGTATTGGATAAATTTTTATTAATAAATTAATATATTTGTAATATTCCAATCAGTAGAAAAATTAAATTTTCTAACATTTTGTGACTTAGTATAATCTACTTCTTCAGGGAATAAATAACCAAATTAAAATTAACTCAAGTTTAAATAGTACATATGTTAATTTTGATTTGGTCATTCCTTTTCTGAAGAAGTGGCTTATACTGGGTCACGGAACGCCAGAAAATTTAATTTTTCTACTTATTGAGATATTACAAAAATATTATTTTTATTTATAATAACCATAAAATTTAATAAAACTACATTAAATGAATCAATTATTATCATGAAGTGATAATCTAATCAGCTATTGTAAATATCAACATTAAAGAAAAGCTAAACAACTCGGTAATTTTCTCTGTGTTATATCGTTTGGCCGAGTACCCTGTTTATATATATGATGTGATAATACCACCAATTAGAGAGCAGTGAATTATCGATCGGACCAGTGACACGCGAAACTCATACGAACAGTCTGGAGCACTTATTGATTCTGCTTTCTGCCTACCCAAGCCAGTTAAGTCCAGAATACCAATAACAACCTCTGCAATATGAATCGTTTATTTCAAGCATAATGGGTTTATATACTAATCAAACAGACCACAATGTACCATAAAATAGGAAATAATATTTGTACAAGATTTAGCCAAGTGTGGCTCTGAATATGGGGAACAGTAATTAATAAACTGGGGATAACTCAGGAATGGTAAATCTTATAGTAATAGACTATGTTTCAAAATAAAGCTTATAATAAGAGGAACATGAATATTAATAGTTAAGTTACTTCACAACTATATAATAGGAAATATACATATCATATTGGTCCATAAATAGTTCTCAAAAGTTAGTATTCATAATTCTCTTCAGGATATAACACTCTGTATTTATTAACACTTTTAAAAAGTTGATACTTACCGTTCCTATTAAAAATTATGTGAATTATATTATCAACATGTTACGATCTCATGGGAATGATAAATTTTCTTTGTTTCTTTGTTTTTTCCTACAAAATAATAGTTGTCTTACTTTTAGACTTAATTTTAGACTTTTAGACATAATTAGACTTGTAAGTTTGTCCACTGAGCTGGATGGCTTTGTCGACCAAACCATCCAGTCTCCTTCTTGTGTTCAAAAACGATTTGTTCTTACACTTAACTTATTCGAAATGTATTGCGCAGATATTTCACATAACTCTGATAAACTTCGTCTTCTCATTGCATTATCGAAATTTATCAAAGGGATTAATTGTTTTAAATTACAGTTAGTTAGTAAAAAAATATTTCATCTTTCTATAACTGCTTTTAATGTCCTTAAGAACTCAACTCTTGAGTTTTTAAGATTAACTGTCAATTCGTTTATAATGATAGCAATCAAAGTTTCAAAAAATTCACCATTTTGACAAATAGTTATTTTCAGAGAGGGGTTTTGTGGAGATTTTAGTAATTTTATATAGTTGAGATTATGAATCAATTGAACCTAGCCCGCCATGGAAAACCTGGAAGTACTGGACGGCCGTTTCGTCCTATTGTGAGACTACTCAGGCCAGTTGGGAGATATCAACTAACTGAAGACATTGGTGAATGGTCGCTGAACTTCATCGATTGGTTGAAGTTAGACATAAACACCGTTGAATGCCGGTCAGCTCAGTGGTCTAGTGGTTAAGCGTTCGCGCGCGAGACTGATAGGTCCTGGATTCAAATCTCGCAAGGCTGGGTCGTGGATGCGCACTGCTGAGGAGTCCCATAATAGGACGAAGCGGCCGTCCAGTACTTCCAGATTTTTCATGGTGGTCTAGCTTCAATTGACTCATGATTTCTGTTATGTAGTAGCGAAGTACGGGTAACTAGATTATCTATATCTATATTCATCTTATTGTAAGCTTCATTTTGACATATTGATTATTATTGTATGATTTACTGTTCCTAAGTTATGCTCAGTTTATTGATTATTGTCTCCCACGCTTACAGCCTCATTTGGCCTGGTTTTGTACAAATATAATTTTCTATTTTATGGTGTGGTGTGGTCTGCCTGTCTGGTATATAGATAAAGTATGTTTGAAATAAACGATTCGCATTACAGCAGCTGCTATTGGTGTTCTGGACTCAAGTGGACGGGTAGGCGGATAAGGACCAATAAAGACGCTAGATTACTCATATTAATCGAACGTCATTGTCACAGTGTGAAGGTCGTAGAAGGCGTATTCTATTGGTGGATCATTTACGAGAATTACGTCCTTGTTAAATTCGTAAGGTCATAACGAATCAGCGACGACCTTGATCAAGTCATAACAATTGGCTATAGCCTAGGTCAAATCATAACAATTTCAACTATATAAAAATACTTATTTGACTGTAAAAACAAGCATGAGTTTGTATGGCTGATAAAATTCAGACTACCTCATCTCACTTTCACTCTTTCTATCTAAACTTTCGTTTTGAATGATAAATGTCTCGACTTTGTACTACATTTTATTGTCTAGTTAATCCCGAAAGTGTTTCTCAACTAAATTCTGAGCTTAAAGACTATACTTTGATCAATAAACAACACGAATTGTGATTATAATTTTAAACAACTTTTGTGTTCAACCTTCTACGATGTAGTTGACATTAACAAGGTTCGACTTGATAATTTCATATAATACGAGCATTGAGTATGTTTTTATAATTAAAAATAATATAATTGAAATATCCCAATCAGTAGAAAAAGGAAGTTTTTAAATTTCCTGGTGTTTCGTGACTCAATGTAAGTCACTTCTTCAGAAAACAAAGGAATTCATGATGAATTATTGAAATTGTTAACAACTAGTAGAGATACATGTTAACAAAATTTTTTGCATTATTCAATGAGTTATAATTAATGTTATTTTACTTTGCAAAAATAGTTTCCTGCTGTGAATTGCTATGAATTTTGTCTTAAAACTAACAAAATTCAAAAAAGCTTATTCTAATTGCAAATGGAGATCTGTCATTCCAAACTATCGTATATATATAACACTTTGTTGTCTAGATAGATCAGATAACTTTTAAAGTTCACTGATCAGATTAGAAACCTGATACAAATAATAAACATTGATTTATTGATTTACGTATAAAAGAAAATGTGACTAAAACGATTTAAAAATATCGTTTTAATGACTTTTATACGATATGTTGAAGCGTTTCTGAGTTTAAGTCCTTTAATGAATATCAACTCTGAGATGCAGGTACATCCAGCTGACGATTCCCAAATAGGACAAAATGGACATTCTAGATTCCACTGCCAACCACTATCCATCTTTGCTTACAACGCTTGTGACTTAAAGCAATATCGAGGCAATACGTAAAGTGTGCACATGTCAATAACAGACTGATCAATGGCAGTCCTAAACATCAATGGGATGATTCACGCAAACAACACCAAGTGATTATTGAGACTTCGTTATAAAAAGATTGACTTTCTTTTCCATATTCTCTTCACTAACAAACTAACTTACGCAGAACTTCAGATAATCAATATGTTAAATCAGTAATTATGAAACAATCGAATTTCATAGAACTTCATAGACATTAACACCGTTGGATGCCAGTCAGCTCAGTGGTCTAAAGGTTAAGCGTTCGCGCGAGACTGATAGGTCCTGGGTTTGAATCTCGCAAGGCGGGATCGTGGATGCGCACTGCTGAGGAGTCCCATAATAGGACGAAGAGGCCGTCCAGTGCTTCCACTTTTTCCATGGTGGTCTAGCTTCAATTGATTCATGGTTTCAACTATATTAAATAGTATTTATCTAGAAGTTTATGCAAGTTTTTTTGACCAAACATTCTCATTTATCATACATTATATCATATCTAATTATCCGACTTAAAAAAGGTTTATACTTAAAGATATAAAATATAACCTATAAAAATTTTCATTATCATTAATGAAATACCAGACAATATGATTTTACCTAACAATCACTGATCATAATTGATCTATAATAGAATGTTCATAT